TGAATGCGAAAATACGAGAAGAGATTGTACATTGATGCTGTGAATCCATGAAGAATTACTTGTAACAACCTCATGATCCAGCTTTTGCTCATTAACCATTGCGTACATACAGAAACATAGCAAAACTTGGATGGGTTTTTAATTAACTAACGTCAAATGGGTTGTGAACGCTTACTTGCAAAAAAATCCCATTATTAGTCGGTTTGTCCTGCCTCTAGCCCGGTCATCTGAGCTTTCATTCCCCAGGCAGTACCTCGCCAACCGGAGCATCAATAAGAACAGCTAAGTACTTCCATTCCATCATTTCAATTCAGTCTCCAAAACGTGTACGCTACCACGTTGCTCTTGGTTTGCCGTTTTCTTCCACACAGACACTTCTGAGTGTGTTTTGGTGTTTTCACATGAAAGTTCATCCCAAAAGTGAAGAGTAACCAAACTTTCTTATCTTTCATCTCTAGTCTGCGCAGGAGCCCTTGAACCTGCCAGCCAATGTGACCATACACACACACATAAAGATGGATTATAAAGCCTCAGATTTGATCATCAAAATCCTTCGAGTCGACAACGCGCCCAGTGAGGAGCAAGCTGGCTCGCAAAGCTATCAGGTTTGTCATTTTTTGAGCCCAAATCAAGTACCACTACTTGATAGCAATTGTTCAAATGAATCATGGGTTGGACAATTACAGGCTAATAACTATTACAGTAAATAAGTGATGTAGATATGGTGATTCTTGGTTTCCTGTTGACAGTCATCAGTCTATATAGCATGGCAGTTTGCTTTCACACTTAGGAAAGGGGAACATTCCGTGGTTGTATTCCGATGTAAAACACAATAAAATAGATGCGTGGGAAAAGTAACTAATTGTAATCGCTTAAAAATAGACTTGTGTCTTATCCTTGTTAGTTAATTGAAACAGTTTGGTATGCTGACCACTTCAGTCTCGACGTTCTCTGCGACTACCTGACTGGTGTAATAAAGCATAGCCGTTAAGGTACGAGACATTTTGAATGTCTCCGATTAATCTACAACTGAACATTTGCATTAAATGAAGTCGTGACAGACGATTCGAGTTTTGTCTGCATGCATAGCTGCAGAGTAAAAATAGGCAAATTCTTTTGAGTAAAGGCATTCATAAGGAGCAAAATACGATCCATAATTACGTGAACGATTGGATGGTTTAAGAATGGCTTCAAACACAAAGAGGATGTGTGGTAGTGAGCAATTTGAATGAAAGTCTTCGTTGTCCAAAACTCCGCTTCAAGTAAGTACGCATATAATTCTTTCAGTCACAACTGCAGATACTCGACAAAGTCATGAACGATGCAATCTCTCATAATTACGTCATAAATATTTCTTAATGCTGGCACCTGCCATGGGAGCATGCAGGAGGGCAGATGATCTCGATGTTGCTCACCGGATGCGTAAATGCATAGACCACTATAAGACATATTTCCATTATTGCGCTCAAGGAGGGCTGGATACAGCGTTTTGCTTCTCCAGGTCAGAATGGCTCTGCTTGGATTGAAAAAGAAGAAACGCTGGCACACACGCATTGTACCCGCACCCAATCCAGTTTTCAATGAGGAAGCAGTGTTCAAGGCAGTGACACCAGGTAAGGTGATAGGACCAGAATGGTGTAAGAGCACGTTATAGAGGGCGTTGCACGATACAAAGGTCCATTTAACGCCACAGCATTGCTTTTGTCCTCCTCATACGTCTACTTGATAGGACTATTTAAGCTCCTACAGAGACTACTGAGTGTTTTGAATTTATACCTTAGTACTCGACCATTTGTGACTAGTTGAGGGAACATTGAGGAGAACAAATATAATTCAGGCGTTTTAATCTGCAAGACTGGCAACACCCAAGTGGATTGTGCAGCAACTTACTGTTTAAGTTAATTGGTGGCACTAATTTTGCCCCAATTCGACAGAACAAACAGTTTATTTAGCGTAACTATTGGAATGGAACTGCTTAAACTTTTATGAGATTACTGTCGCCGAGTAGTGTACTTCCTTGAGGATCTAAAAACAAGTTGGGTGCACAAGTACGCGCGGACACGGGGAGAACATCAGACTGCAAAAGTTGCTGGAAAATATGACTACATTATTTGGTGCAGTGACATTGAAGACTCCATAAGCATTTTTCTATCCCCTTTACTAGATGAGCTAGCCAAGATGGCGCTAAGACTACGATTGTATGGCTGCAAAAAAATGAGACGTCATTTCATCTTTGCCGAGTCGACAGTCGCCTTCACTGCACTGAACCTCCATAGTGGCGAAGCGGACATTCCATTCGCTCTTGCCATCAAGATTGAACGCCAAAGTGTAGTTGACTCGGTCAGGTTACTATTTATTAGCTATATTAATCGTGCACTCCAACCAAATTATTCTTTATCATTCTAATCTTTCTTTTAAGTCCAAACGCCTTCTACTTTCCTTAAATAAATGTACGTTTGCATGACAGCACGGCACATTTTTATGTGAGGCGAAAATAAGAGTCCAATCCACTTTATTGTTAGTCAAACTTCCCATAAAATGCAATTACTGTAAATACCAGCTCTATCTATTCCTTTGCTGTCACTCCCCTTTACATGGTGATCCAATCTTTGCTTGTTAAGTTGTCATCACAGAAGTGCTGCTGAAGATGGTTCTTCAGCTTGGATTGAATTAACATTGTCGCACATCCTATTAATGTGCTTTAGCATGACATGAATTGTAGGTTCTTGGGTCTTATTTCCTGTGACTAAGCGGCACTAACTTCCGGAGGAAGTGATAAGCAAACGCAAGCCTTCCAATCA